TGCTTCTGTGCAACAAAAGAAACACTGAGCAGAGAAAGAAGCATCCTACAGAATGGGAGAAAATATTTGCAAACTATGCAACTGATAAAGGGTTAACATCCAGAATCTATAAAGAGCTCAATAAACTCAACAACAACAAAACAAATAATCCAATTAAGAAATGGGCAGTGAGTGAGCACCAACAGGTATTTTTCAAGAGACGAAATTAAAATGACCAAAAGACACTTGAAAAAATGCTCAGGATCACTAGCCATCAGTGAAATGCAAATCAAAACCACAATGAGGTTTCACCTCACTCCATTTAAAATGGCTTTCATACAGAAATCAACAAAAAACATGCTGGTGAACATGTGAGGCAAAAAGTACCCTAATCCCCTGTTGGTGGAGATGTAAACAGGTACAGCCACTGTGGAAGACAGTAAGGAGACACCTCAGAAATCCAAATATAGAACTACCATATGACCCAATCATCCCACTCCTGAGAATTTCCTCAAACCAAATCAGCATCTGAAAGAGTCAACTGTACCCCCATGTTCATTGCAGTTCAGTTCACAATAGCTAAGATAGGGAATCAACACAGATGTCCATCAACTGTTGACTGGGTAAAGAAATTATGGTGTTTGTAATATATATATTTCATAGTGTATATATATATATATATATATATATACACTATGCAGTACTACTCAACTGAAAAAAAAGAAAAACTGAAATCTTATTTTTTTGCAGCAAGATGGACACAACTGGAAACCATTAGAATTGGTGAAATAAGCCAGTCCCAAAAAAACAGATATCATATTTTACCCTGAACAGAGGTAACTAATAGAGTACCTAAGATGCAATGTTTAGGAATAAAATGGACATTTTGAGATTCAGTGATTTTTTTACAGCCCATTTCTGTTCTGTGAGAAGCAGTGTTTTTTTTTCCTTAATGCTATTTGTTGAACTTTTACTTAGTGTAGGGTTAACTATACAATCATTAAGTAAACTGAAAATAGAACTTTTTTTTTAAACTTTTATTTAATGAATATAAATTTCCAAAGTACAGCTTATGGATTACAATGGCTTCCCCCCCCATAACTTCTCTCCCACCTGCAACCCTCCCCTTTTCCTCTCCCTCCCCCCTTCCATTCACATCAAGATTCATTTTCAATTCTCTTTATATACAGAAGATCAGTTTAGCATATATTAAGTAAAGATTTCAACAGTTTGCATCCACATAGAAATACAAAGTGAAAAATACTGTTTGAGTACTAGTTATAGCATTAAATCACAATGTACAGCACATTAAGGACAGAGATCCTACATGAGGAGTAAGGACACAGTGACTCCTGTTGTTGACTTAACAAATTGACACTCTTGTTTATGGCCTCAGTAATCACCCTAGGCTCTTGTCATGAGTTGCCAAGGCTATGGAAGCCTTTTAAGTTCACCGACTCTGATCATATTTAGACAAGGTCGTAGTCAGAGTGGAAGTTCTCTCCTCCTTTTAGAGAAAGGTACCTCCTTCTTTGATGACCTGTTCTTTCCACTGGGATCTCACTCTCGGAGATCTTTCATTTAAGTTTGTTTGTTTGTTTGTTTGTTTGCCAGAGTGTCTTGGCTTTCCATGCCTGAAATACTCTCATGGGCTTTTCAGCCAGATCCGCACGCCTTAAGGGCTGATTCTGAGGCCAGAGTGCTGTTTAGGACATCTGCCATTCTATGAGTCTGCTGTGTATCTCACTTCCCATGTTGGATTGTTCTCTCCCTTTTTTATTCTATTGGTTAGTATTTGCAGACACTAGTCTTGTTTATGTGATCCCTTTGACTCTTAGTCTTATCATTATGATCAATTGTGAACATAAATTGATCACTTGGACTAGTGAGATGGCATTGGTACATGCCACCTTGATGAGATTGAATTGGAATCCCCTGGTATGTTTCTAACTCTACCGTTTGGGGCAAGTCAGCTTGAGCATGTCCCAGATTGCATCCTCTCTTATTCCCACTCTTATATTTAACAGGGATCACTTTTCAGTTAAGTTTCAACACTTAAGAATAACTGTGTATTGATTATAGTATTCAACCAAAAGTATTAAGTAGAACAAACAAACAAAAAATACTAAGAGGGATAAAGTATTAAGTTGTTCATAAACAGTAAGGGCAAGGGCTGATCAAGTCACCGTTTCTCATAGTATTCATTTCACTTTAACAGGTTTCCTTTTAGGTCTCGGTTAGTTGTCACCAATCAGGGAGAACATATGATATTTGTCCCTTTGGGATTGGCTTATTTCACTCAGCATAATGTTTTCCAAATTCCTAACAGGGATCACTTTTCAATTAAAATTTAAACACCTAAGAATAATTGTGTGTTACTTACAGAGTTCAACCAATAGTACTAGAACAAAAAAAATACTAAAATGGATAAAGTATTACATTGTACATCAACCGTCAGGACAAGAGCTGATCAAGTCACTGTTTCTCATAGTGTCCATTTCACTTCAACAGGTTTCCCCTTTGGTGCCATCACCTATTGGCTTTCCCAGGCCATAGCAGAGAGCTGGATTGAAAGAGGAGCAGGCGGGACTTGAACTGGCATCCACATGGGATGCTGACGCTGCAGGCTGCGGCTTTAACCCACTGTGCCACAGCACTGGCCCCCTTCTTGGTTATTTTTAAGTCCCCAGGGTTTGAAAAAGAGTTGGGAATTTGGGAATGGAAGGGATAGTAAAATTGTGTTCAGCAAAGAGTCTACATCATGTCTCTACTTCAGGTTTTCTGTATGCTGCCACCAGTGTATCTTTTTTAAATGTCATGTTGACGGTTCCTTTGCTTATAAGGCTTTCACTGCTCCCTGCTGACTACAGGGTCTTTCTTTAAAAAAAAAAAAAAGATTTATTTATTTTTATTTGAAAGTCAGAGTTACACAGAGAGAGGAAAGGCAGAGAGAGAGATAGAGAGGTCTTCCATCTCACTCCCCAATTGGCCAAAATGGCTGGTGCTGCGCCAATCCAAATTCAGGAGCCAGGAGCTTCCTCTGGGTCTCCCATGTGGGTGCAGGGTCCCAAGGACTTGGGCCATCTTCTGCTGCTTTCCCAGACCATAGCAGAGAGCTGGATCTGAAGAGGAGCAGCCGGGACTAGAACCGGCGCCCATATGGAATGTCGGCGTTGCAGGCCAGGGCGTTAACCTGCTGCACCACAGAGCCAGCCCCAGGGTCTTTCCTTAATGTAACCTCCACTGTCTCTTCAGCTTTTTCTTTGAAACTTAAGCAGGCCTTGCTAACTAAGTCATTCTTGGCGTGTTCTCAATGCTCAACTTGCTGATGGTTCATTCTGGACCAGAAAACTTCATTCCCTGTATCTATTTCTATTTGAGTTCTTCACTTCGGTCGGGAATACCCTTTCTGCACCCCCAGCAATCTCCATGTCTGTCATAAATCCAGCTCAAGGCATAGCTTTCCCAAAATGTCTTTTCAGGTTGCCAAGTATATCCCTTCTACTCTCTGAACTCTGATAAATCTGTGCAATGTAGCCTTGCTGATCCACCAAGCCAAGAATAAACCTAATTAGAGCATGAAAATTTTAGAGGCATTTTTAACTGATCTATGGACTTGGGCAAGCACCTCCATTTTAAAAGTAATTTTCATTTGAGTCCAGCCACTTTCTTAGTATCATGTGCTAAGAATATCTTCTGATAACCAACTTCTTTAGTGCACACTTTGTATTTATCTTACCTCATCATGGTCACTGAAGCACCTAAACCATATTTTTTTTTGCCTCTGTCATCCAATAAATCATAAAGACTTACCAATCCCACCTCCCTAAGTATTTCTGCAGTGTCTGCTTTGTTCACATTATTGCCGTGTGGACTATTGCCAGAGATATCCTGTTTACCTTCATCTCTTCATTTTCCTCCGTACTTCTGCCCACCTTTCCCAGTCCACCCTCCTCGGTGTTGTGCAAGATATTTCTGTCTGACTTTCAAGTAAAGGCAATAGTCTACACTTCTTAACACAGCATGCAGAGTTCTCTTTTCCCTCCTGATATCCATTGAGGTCCTGCTGACAGCCTGTTCTGGTCTTTCTGAATTATACTGGGTTCCCCCAACACGTCCCTTCTTTCCCCTGAGTCTTCACACCCATGGTGCCTTTCAGTTGCCTCCACCCAGGCAAATAATTGAAAAATACATATTAACTCTTAAAGAAGCAATGAATAACCTTCTTTGAGATTCTATAGTACTTTATCCTTAATAAAATGTCATCTTGTTTTAATCACTTCTTTAATGTTCCTCCTTCACTCACTTTTATAACACCAGATCATACCAGATACATAATAGATGCTGGTGGGTTGAACTGAATTTATTGACCAAGTGAATAAGACACAGAAACTGAGAGTCTAGACCAGCTTTCTGCAAAATAATAAAATCTGAGTCCCAGAAGGAAACTATTTATGTACTTTCAGATTATCTACCAACTGCATTTTAATAAGTGAAAGGAAACAGTTTAAAAAACAAAGAGGTAAACTTTATTTTAATAATTTATGCAGGCCGGCGCCGTGGCTCACTTGGCTAATCCTCTGCCTTGCGGCGCCAGCACCCTAGGTTCTAGTCCCGGTTGAGGCGCCAGATTCTATCCCGGTTGCTCCTCTTCCAGGCCAGCTCTCTGCTGTGGCCCAGGAGTGCAGTGGAGGATGGCCCAAGTTGGGTCCCAGTACCCGCATGGGAGACCAGGAGGAAGCACCTGGCTTCTGGCTTTGGATCGGCGTAGCGCCAGCTGTAGTGGCCATTAGGGGAGTGAACCAACAGAAGGAAGACCTTTCTCTTTGTCTCTCTCTCACTGTCTATAACTCTACCTGTCAAAAAAAAAAAATTTATGGCAATATACCCAAAACATGTAACCCATTTAAATTATTAATTTAAACTATTCATGAGCAAATTTACATTATTTTTGCTTCCTAAATTTTTAAAGTCCACTGTATAATATAATATACTCACAGGATATCCAAATTTGTACTGACCATGTTTCAGAACATCAACAGTCACTTGTGGCCAATAGTTCCAGGCTGGGCAGCACAGCTTTAGATGGGAGTGAAGTCCTGGTGGGATCATTCCAGTGCAGATGAGGGACTGACTTCCTGATGACAAGTGTTCAGCTGAGAACAATAGAGGCCTTACTTAGATAAGCTACTGGGGGAATGAAATGTAATTGTACATCTAAAAAATAAATCCAGATAATGATTAAGAATATAATTTTTACACCGGTCAAAATAATAACTTATTTCATTTGATCAGTATTGCACATTCATTTATAGGACTTTTACCAAAATAATTAATGTAATTTTCATAAGCACAGTGCAATCAGGATGAAGTGACTTTAACATATGAGGCAGCAGAATAAAACTTCATGGCCAGGAGTTTACTTGCCTACTATATTAATGCTTGATTCCAAATTAGAAGATGCACATGATGGAAACTAACCCCTTATTCCTAAATCTTATATAACAGTCCTTGTCTTGAGAGGTGCCATTTGTTATCTTTTGCAGGTTTTCTAAATACAGCTTTCAAATGTGAATTCTTATGAATCCTCTTGCAATTAAGTGTAACACCTTGGTCTCCCAGCAGGAACTCCTCGTGGTGTGTTGCCTCAGCCCTTCTTCTCCACTCTGACAGGCATATGTTGGGTTTGTATTGTATAGGGAAGCATGAGAATGAAACCTGCAGCTCCTAACAGCAGGAAGATCTTGCAAATACCTGACTTCTGTCTCAGGATGACAGTTTGTTGTCACCTGAAAGCACCAAAGAAATGGACTCCCATCCAGGGGAAGGTACCTGCCCTTTGGTCCTTCTCTTCCACAGTGAAGTTCCATCTCTCCACATTTCCTTGGTCCAGACTTGCCTAAGCTTTATGTTCTCCTTAAGCTGTAGCCTATACATGGGTCATCCCATTTCAGCATCTCCAGCTCTCTCCCCTCCATCATTGCATGAAGATAATTATGTTTTAAGTGTTGATGTGTTTGAAATGGAGCTCATCCTTCTTCTCCCTTCCATAGTTTCCAATTGTTACTGTTTCCCAAATCTTTGAGACTTCAGACTCTTGGCTTACAGTCTATTCTCTTACCCTGTAAAATCTAGATCCAAGTTGCCACCATTCTCTCTGATTCATTTGCCAGAGTGTTTCTCAGAAGCTATCATTTTCTTTCCATTTCACAAGTCTGGTACTTCTGTTTCTTAATAACTAGGCAACAATGGTACCATTTTTAAAGATATTTCCATACCCGTGGCGTGATTTGTTTTGGTGTAGACTATATACAGCTGCTTGAACAATCTTCCTTGAAGTAGTATATACCAGGATTCATTATTCTAAAATAAATGGTTTTTCACATTTTTATATCCATAAAATCAGAGTGTACCTTACAGATAAGTGGTGTGTTGCAATGTAATTGTCATGTGTTTCATTTTAGTTATGTACACATTGAAGCAGTCTGCAATTGATAACATTTCAGGTTCATAAAATGCAGCCTGTTAAATCATTGATAGAGTATAATGGGAACACTATGCAATTTCCTGCTAAGAAGACTGGTTCAGAGGAGTGGATTAAGATAGTGGAGTAGGGAGAGAGCTTGCTGTTCAAGTCTAGGAGAAGATAGTTTAAAAAAGAAAGGCTGCAGTCTCAGGAAAGAGGGAGAAAACAGCAGAGAAAACTCCATGTAAATTGGAGGACCACAGTGGACCTACAAGGATGGCAAAGACGCACACAACCTAGGACTCCACCAGCCCAGACCCTCTGTACCAGCCTTAGAGGACAAGGGGAGACCAGACTACAGCAGCCTAAGCCACTGGTGAAAAAGCTGCAGGAAGAGCCTAGAGGGAATCCAGCTTGGAACCCCATGGGTTATAGTGTACCCACCAAACTAGAGGAGAAAAAACAAAGGGGGGCACCTTTTCTCTCTCCTTGATCATCCTGCAAAGGTGTCCTGTAACAAGCTGACAGCAGGCACCATTTTGGACATACATAACAGCTGCGCCAGCTCCTGTCCACATCCAGCAACCAGCCAAGTGGAGACTCTTGAGTCTTGGGGGGAGAACAGACAGTGGGGTGAGTGCCTGTGACCATGGTAAGCTTGTGTGCTGGGACTATGAAAACACCGAGACTGTGTGGGAGGACTCAGGTTGTGATTGGGACACTGGACAGACACTGTGTGAGGCTCCACACAAGCAGGGCTCCCTGGTAACCTGGGGAGAGACATCGCTGAGGAGTCTGAACATACACTGAGGATTGCACAGATCCTTTGTGTAGTCCTTGTGACAGTGCAGATGAATAATATACTCATTGGGATCAGCTCCCAGGCACTGGTCTCCTTTGATGAGAAGAGCTCAGCTGAGTCTACACCAACAGACAAGAAGAAACCTCCATTTGATTAAGAAAAAAAATTTACCACACCAAACCTGGGTGTGTCACCTCAGACGCTCCCTTCTCCAAGGAGCACTAAACAGAGCTTCCTGGTCACACCCACCACATGCCTCTAGGCATTCGCTGAAAGCAGACACTCCATTAATTCAGTCAGACATAGTCCAAAGATAAAAGCCTCCACAGTGAAAAATCAAAGAAGACCAACCAGTTTCCCCACAAATGTCGAATAACTCACCAATCCAAGAAACAAGAACAAGGAAGACAACATTACATCCCCGAAAGAACACAACACCTCAATACTAGATTTTGAAGATGATGATATTGAAGAAGTGCCTGAAATGGAATTCAAAAAATTGATCATAGAATTACTTAGAAGTTATCAGAAGCAAATGCATGAACTAATGAAATCCATACATGACATGAAAGAAAATATCTCCCATGAAATTGAGATCTTAAAGAGAAATCAAAATGAAATCTTGGAAATGAATAATTCAATATTAACAAATAAAAAGAACACTGGAAAGGCTTAACAACAGAATCATTGAATCAGAAGAAAGAATATCTGACTTAGAAGACAAAGCACAGGAAAGTATACAGTAAGATCAAACACAAGAAGAAATTAGAAAACTAAAAAGCACTGTCAATAATCTACAGGATACTATCAAATGACCCAACATATGAGTTCTAGGAGTTCCTGAAGGTAGGGAGAGAAAGGATTAGAAGGCCTTTTTAGTGAAATAATAAAAAGAAAATTTCCCAAATTTGGAGAAAGGGGCATCCAAGTACAGGAAGCACATGGAACTTCTAATAGACATCACCACAACACATTGTGGTCAGACTCTCCACAGTAAAACATAAAGAAAAGATTCAAAAATGTGCACAAGGAAATGCCAAATTATTTCAGAGATCTCCAATTAAACTCACAGGGGACTTCTCATCAGAAACCATACAGTTTAGGAGAGAATGGCTATGTAGTCCAAATCTTAAGAGAAAAGAACTACAACCTGATACCATCAAATTACTAGAGAACATTGGGGAAACCTTGCAAGACACTGGTACAGACAAAGAGTTCCTGGAAAAGACCCCAGAGGCACAGGCAGTCAAAGCCAAAATCAACAGAAGGGATTACATCACATTGAGAAGCTTCTGCACTGCAAAAAAAGCACTCAGGTAAGTGAAGAAGCAAGTGACAGAATGGGAGAAATTATTTGCAAACTATGCAACTGATAAAGAATTAATAACCAGAATATATAAAGAAATTAAGAAACTCCACAATAACAAAACAAACACCCAGTTAAGAGATGGGCCGAGGACTTAAACAGACATTTTTCAAAAGTGGAAATCCAAATAACCAATAGACACATGAAAAAATGTTCAGGATCACCGGCCGTCAGGGAAATGCAAATCAAAACTACAATGAGGTTTCACATCACCCCAGTTAGAATGGCTTTCATACAGAAATCAACAAACAACAAATGCTGAACGAGGATTTGTGGAAAATGGTACCCTAATCCAATGTTGGTGGGAATGCAAACTGGTAAAGTCACTATGGAAGACAATTTGGAGATACCTCAAAAATCTGAATATAGTCCTGCCATATGACTCAGCCATCCCACTCCTTGGTAGGGAAATGACATCAGTAAATAAAAGACTTATCTGCACCTCCATGTTTATTGCAGCTCAATTCACAGTAGCTAAGATATGGACTCAACCTATGTGCCCATCAACTGAAGACTGGATAAAAAAATTATGGGATATGTACAATATGGAACACTATACAGCAGTAAAAAATGAAATCCAGTCATTTGCAACAAAATGGATGAATCTGAAAAATACGAAACTTAGTGAAATAAGCCAGTCCATAAAGGACAAATACCATATGTTCTCCCTGATCTGTGAGAACTAATAGAGCACCTAAAAGGAAATGAACAGGTTTTTTTTTTTTTTTTTCTTAATGGAGAATGGACTGGGAATGGCAGAGGGAGGAGGTGGGGTGGGAGTCAGGGTGAGACGGTGGGTAGGATGGGAAGAATCACTGTATTCCAAAAGTTCTACTTATTAAATTTCTACTCATTAAATAAATGGTTTATTTGGGAAAAAATATTTTAAAAAATTGTTTTAAAAAGACTGGCTCAAATCCTAAATCTGCAGATTACCAGTCCTGTAGCTCAATACTTGATCTCTTTGGTACATAGATGATTCCTCGGTAAAGTGAATGAGGCAGATATCATCTTCCAGTATTGTTGTAAGAATTAAATCTTTAGACTCCCGGCAAGATGGCGGAATAGGAAGGGAGCACACTGATAGTCTGGGGAGAGATAGTTTAATAAAAGTGGAGATACTGCAGGTTCAAGGAAGAGTAGGGGAGGAAACAGCAGAAGAAACTCTTCCGGAACGCGTGACTCACAGCGGACCTGCGTGGACAGCGTGGGAGCCCACAGTTTGGGACATCAGCGGCAGACTCAACACACCAGCGCTGGAACGCGAGGTGAGCCGAACCTCAATAGCCCGAGACACCGGCAGGCAAGCGGAGAGAGGAGACTAGAGGGAACGACCCCTGGGGAGGGGAAGTTCACAAGGCTAACTGGAAGAGAGAGAGAGAGAGAGAAAAAAAAAAAAAGGGTGACTAGTACGGACACGGGTTTCTCTCTCTCCGCTCACCTCTCAAGGGCGAGCAAGACAAAGAGCAGGCGCCATCTTGGACATACGTCATAAGCAGAGCGACCTCAGGTCTGCACCGGC